TTGAAGCTACTCCAGTTGGATAAATCTACCACCTGCTGCCTACTTGCCAATTCTGATTTACTTGGACTAGTCTCAGGTTGGCTCCCAGTGGAGGGCAGGGATGGAGGGGATACATCCAGATCCCTCCCCCGTCTCTCAGTGCTCGGCCCCACAGCCCCTGCTTAGTAGACGGGAGTTGCCCAGGGCCAGAGAAGGAGCCTTTCAGGGGCTGGGGACTGATAGTACGCTTGACTCTCATGAGAAGGGTGGACTTAGGGCAAATGTAATGCAGTTATCGTGTTACTAACAGGCCTCCAGTCCCCTTGGATTTCTGGCCAGTGAGTCAGATGGCCAGCCCTCTGTGTGGACCCAGTGTGGGCACTTCCTTAACAACAACTCCGTCAGGGACAGTTCGTTGTAATGCTCAGGAACCGAGCCTTGGGTACGGAATCCCAGCTCTGAAACCCTCCAGCAATACGGCTTTGGACAAGTCACTTCGCCCATTTGTTAAGTTTCCTCATCTATATAAAAGGGAAAATAAAACTAGCATCTTCCGTGTCAAGTCTTGTGAGGATTAAATGACTTAATCTGTGAGAAGTGCTTAGCACGTTGCTTGGCACCCAGGATTGGATCGATACATTCAAGCTAAATTTTTTTTTAAAAAGTAGTAGTAATGGAGCTTCTGTTTGATGGAGTGCTCAGCACCTGCCTGAAAGAGCTGGTTGCATCGCTGGGGGCCCCATCATTAGCCAGCCCTGGTGTGCTTCCCTGTTAGTCCTGTTGTAGGTTCTCATCTGCTCCATTGAGCATTTGTGACTTGAGTCCCCTGGACACACTCCTGACTCTGCAAAAGGAACAGGACTGGCCCGTCCTCTGTCTCTGTCCCTTTCCTCTTCCTCTCAGATGTGGGAGCCACACGGGAATGCTGTCTGACCTTTGGTCCCAGAGCCAGTTCCTCAATACCTGTGACGCCTTTGAACTCTGTCAGCACTCTTCCTCTAGGAACGGAGGCCCAAATCTCCAGTGGCTAAAGAGCAAATGCCCTTAAAAGGATGCTGAAGTGGAAGGAGGACTTGCCATGGCCCAGGGTAATTCCTGTGTCTGGAGTCTAGTTGGACCGGCCAAGCCTGGCTCCTCCTAATAACCTCACTGTGTAGGGTCGAGGATTTCAGGTCTGATGCCTGTGGGCTGAATTCATTGAATCTGTCTAAACTCCTGGGCTGTAGCCTCTCAGAGGGCCTGTCTGAATGTCCTGGATGGTCCTCTGTGGTCCCCAGGTGTGCTCCATTGTTGATTCATGGTCATCACTGAAGGTGCTTCGGTTTAGGAACATCTCAGAATTTACTTTGGAAAGGTTTTCTAATCCTCACTTGGGATCTTCAGATCTTGCTTTTTGGGAGGGAGCTTGGGTAGAGAGCTTGATTCTCTCCTAGGCGCAGCATCTGACACAGCTGATTACTCCTTCTCTCTTGAAACACTGTCTTCTCCTGCCTCTAGGACACTCCACTCTCCTGGGTTTTATCTCAGCTGTCTGGCCTCTCCTTCTCTGTCTCCTGTGCAGGCTTTTCTTCCTCTGCCCACTGCTTCTCTGTCCACTCTTCATCCTTTCCCTGTGCTCCAAATACCACGTGTGCATACGACTCACACCCTTTTACTTCCCGCTTCAACCTCTTTTAAGGCTGGCATTGTAACTGCCTACTTCTCTAAAGTATCTCTCAAGCACAAGTTGCCCCAAACACCAGTATTTTCCTTCCAACTCTGTTCCTTTTTAATCGTTCCCTGAACCCTTAAACATCATCATTATCCTCAAGAGTTCAGTTCTCTTTCCCTTATTCCCCATATCCAATCTATCAACAGTTTTTATTTATATCTCTTTCAGGTAATTATCTCCTTTTATTGCATCTTTCTGTCTTCACTACCATCACCTGAGTCCAAGCAACTCTTATCTCCCATCTGCATGACTGTAGTGGTTTGAAAATGCATCTCTCCAATCCACTTCGGCTCCACCGTGAGGCCGGAACAACCTGTTGGAAAAACCAGTCTGACTAAATCATTGCTCCATGAACAACCTTTGAATGACCCCCTGTGTTTCTTGGGATAAAAACAAAAACTCCCACCGTAGCCTGTGAGGTTCCTGCGTGGACTGGCCCCTGCTGCCCTCTCCAGCTTCTCTCGCCTCGCTCTCCTTGCCTTCTCGCCCTTGTTCCCCTCCCGTTCTTCCATGTCTTGACTGCACCAGGCTCCTCGCCCCATCGGCCAGCCTTGGCCAGCGCTGCCTCCTCTGCCGCCCCCCCGGGTGCTCCTCTCACGCTCTCCCTGCCTAGTTACAGCCTGTCCTCCCTCGGAGCCCGCCCACGGCCACTGCGTCCCAGAAGTGACTCACTTCCCTGTCACGTGTTTGCCACGCGTCACCTCTCTGTTCCAATCCTTAACCCAGTCGAAAGCTTACTGTTACTGATTATTCGTTAGTTCCATTTCCTCCGCCCCACCCACCACAAACTGTAGGCACTCTGAGGGCAGGAACACGCATTACCGAATGTCAGGCACGTAGTGGGTACTTGTGATTACTTATTGAAGGAATGAAGTGTGCATCTCAAGCTACTAAGTGTTCCTAGGGGAATAGGATCCTCTCCATGGCTTTGCCTTTGTGCCTCCAGTCTCTAGACTAGGATCTCATAGCAAGTGTTAAGTCAAGTTCAGCTACACCAGTAGTCAGTGCCCCAGAGCCAACACTTCCTCCAAATCCAAATAAAACACTCTTGACACGCTTGAGGAAATTATGGTCTGAGGTGCGTAGCCTCCCCTATGCTTAGTCACGTTCTCTGTCGTGTGGATTAGACATATCTTGGAAATCTTGTCTCCAAACTAGAAAATGAGAGCTACTCAGGACCTGCCTGTGCTCTGGAGTGTGAGACCAGCCCTAAGAGGTTGGCCAGCTCCTCCAGGGAGTCTCTGGCTGTAGACAGGCAGAGCCTGCTCAGACTTTCCTGGGGTTTGATGAGTGAGGCTTGTATTTAGCTGGTGAGGGGAACTGAATGAAACCCCTCACCCATAAGTCCTTCCAGGAGAAGGCTCTCCGACTCCACTGACAGCATAGTTGGGCACATGAAACATGGGTGCTCAGTGGCAAATTAATGGATGACTGAATGAAAACACGGAGCAAGCAACTGCAGCTTGCTGGCCTTTGTGTCATTCAGTCTTCATCTGTTGACCAACAGTGGTGAGGACGGAGGCCTGTGCTAGACACTGGCTTTAGAGAGACGCCCAAGACGCACTCCCTGTTCTTGAAGACATGCTGTCCCACTAGGGAGACTTGACTAAGTAAACCCTACTTTTCTAAGTTACCAGAGAGTCTGGGGGAAGTGCTCTGGTAACGGAAACTCATGACGTTCTTAAGCAAGAAAAGGGGGTGTCCTGGAGGACCATTCTGAGACATCAGTGATGTTGGAGAATCAAAATCATAGCATTAGCGTCCCTTCAACTCAGCTAAGTTCTGTGAACACATGGCTGAAAAAAAAGAGAAACTCAATTTGGTTTCATGAGAACAAATGTGTGCGGGCAGAGATGCCATCCCTTTAGCTAAACATTAAACAACCACAAACATGAAGGGAGCACCTATTACAAGCCAGACTCTGTGCTAACATGAGGAAACAAAGATAAAGGAGGCATAATCTTACCCCCGAAGTGCTTGTAGACCACTGATGGGGAAACAAATCACTAATAGTATCAGTTCACTGAGAGATGTGCCAGGTGGTACAGAGTGTTAGCAGAATTTAAGAAGAAAGAGGAGCTCTCCTGGGGCAGCCAGGGGAGGTGGTGTCACTGATAAAGGCTGAGCTGGTGCTGATGTGGCAGAAAAGTAGGGACAGGTCAGGGAAAGGATATGCTGGATTTAAGCTGCCTCACACAAACGTGACCCCAGTGGGAATGTGAAGAGTGACAGGGAGAATTCACTGAGGTGCTGGTAAGCCCCAGACCACACTCCAGAAGTGCTCACTTCGTATCTGAAACACGAAGGTGCCTCTGTCCCCAGTACACTGCGTGAGGAGGCGGGGCTTAGGCATGCTTTGGCTACTTCCTTTTGCTATGGCATGAGCAAAACGGTTGTTTTGGAGGAGAAAGATTGAGGGACTAAGGGGTCTTAAAAGTTGAATTCAAGGTTCCTGACCTTTGAGACCTAGACTTAGAGTCAGAAAACCTGTGGAATCCTGGCCCTGACCTTTATCAGTCGTGGGACCTTTAGCAAGTTCCCCTTGTTTTCTCATCTATAAAATGAGGATCTGGGGGACATTTACAGGGATTGACCAAGCTGGATCCGTGAAATGGCTCAGTACGGGACTGAGGGTGTAGTAAGTGCCTGGTTCCCAGGCTTCCTTGATGTGGAATTGAGTCGGTGAATTAGTACCTGGCAGAGCAGATAGGATCAGCATTAAATTCTAAAGATGAAGTGGGCAGATGCAAGTGTCCTGAAGCCAAGACAGTTTCCTTCAATGCACTAAATTCTACGCCACCATTTGTTTCACGTAAGGCACAAAGTGAAAATACTATGTTTTTATCTTTAGAAATCTAGTGATTTTAATTGTGTTACCCTGCTATAAAACTGTTGTTTTCACGTTTTACCTGAAAGAATTAAGTAGGGTTTGGAATCATTCCATGAACCCAAGAATCCGACAGTAGTTCTTGGTTTGATCCTAGGGACAAAGCAGAATGAGGGGTTAAATTCTCTGCTTGATCTCCTGGGAGGGCTCGGGAGCCCCCAGCTCAACATTTGTGTCACCTTGGGCAACTCAGTTTCTCTGCGCCTCAATTCTTCATGTGCAAAAAGGGCTATAATAAATCATCCCAACCTCACAAGGGATTAATCCTCGAAAGGGTCAAATGGGTCCATGTGTATAATGCCCTCAGCACAGTGCCTGGCCCATCATTAATACTCAGTAAATGAAACCTGTCGCCATTACGATTATGTCTAGTCACATACGCGAGCCTTTTCAATATCTTTCTTCCTCCCCTTTCCCTCCAAGGTGCTTCCACTCAGAATTCCAACACCATGGAGCCGGAGAAGCAGGTGGACAGCACTGTGAAGATGGCTGGCGTGATCGCCGGCCTCCTCATGTTCATCATCATTCTCCTGGGCGTGATGCTCACCATCAAAAGGAGGTGAGTTTCAGTTGCTGCCCTGCAGACTCTGTGAACCCCAGGTGGCCCCAGCAGCACTATATGGCCAGGTCCTTGCTGCGTTGATCACTTCTGAGCAGGGCCCTCCTGATGTAATTGTTGAGGTACTGAAATATTGGGCCGGTTGCGACTCACTGTGTTGATGTCTGAAGGGTATGCAGGGTATGCTTGCTTGGCAAATGGCTGTGAGATGGCCGGTTTCTTATGGGGCAGGTGTTCCTTGGGGTACCATGGGACTCCATGCATGATGAGTCTTCTCAGAGATAGCTGCTCTGCTGTGATTGGTCACATCATCAAGATTACTGGGGAGCCCCAGGGACACAGAGGAACCCAAAGTATAGATGCAGGAAATAATGCTTTGTTCTTTTCACCTTCATTCATCCCTGATTTTTCTTTGGTCAAGCAGCAGCATCCTGTGCTGTCCTGCATCAAAGGGATACAGCCTCCAGAGGGAAGGCTCCTTCCTACTCCATGTCATCTTCCCAGCTGGATTGTTGTTGCTTGTCACCTCTCAACAGGGTGTCTTCCTGGGCACCTCTGGTCAACAAACACAGTTATCTCATATTGCATGCTTTGCTCATAAAAGCCAGGGTGCAGGTTCCTTCCTTATCCTCAGAGTTCACTACACTGACATCTTCTGTTTGTCAGACATTCACAGGGCCTGAGGACACCACCAGGGAATTGCAGAGAGGGAAAGGAGACATCCGTCAGGGAAAGCTGGTGAACATCAGCCATCACTGTCCCTATGGTGCATGGCTATTCTTCTGAACAGGGAGTCCTCCTGCCTACATCACCTTAGCCCCTGAACCGCCACCATGTTCCCATGCCTTCTGCCCACCTCCGTGTCTTCTCAGTTTCAATGCCAGGATTCCAACCTTGGTCTCCACCCTCCCACTCCCCATTCTGCCAAAGCAAGCAAAACATTTATCTACATTATAATAGTATGTGCTGCGATGTGCCCTGCCCCCGGTTTAAAGAGACTTACATTTTCAAACAAACTACTCAACTCCTCAGCCAGAAGCTCTGGGTTTGGTTACAGAGTTCGGGAGAAGCCCCATAACAGGGGCCAGGGACTTGCTTCCACCCTTGGGACAAAAAGAGCTCCTGAAACTTGTTCCCACCAGAACAAAGGAACAGAATGCCCCCAAAGAAAAATTCTAGCTTCTACCTAAGGAGTCACATGAATAATGCACAAAGTAAAAAAAAAAAAAATTACCCACTTCCAGCCATCACTTCCCACTCTACAAGTAGTCAGCCTTTTTTTTAGCCATTCTGGCACCAGAATGTCCCTGTGTGTCTCGTGGTTCTGTTCTGAATCAGCCAGTACCCTGTTTGAGCAGGACATCTTACCGGTAGGGCCTGTCCTTTCTTGACATCTTTGGTCTAATTGGGTCATTGCTTTCCTCAGACTCCCAGCAGAATGACTGAAGATTTAAGGTTCTCATCCAGCTAGTGATTTTCTGGCTAGAGAGGCTCTGGAGGAGACACATTAATATCGGGGGTCATGAGCCCCCAGAGTCATCATCAACATCATCGTCACCCCTAAAACAAGGCATGTTTCATGTCTCAATGAAAGTCAGCTGCTATTAGATGAGGCGGAACTTGAGGTCTGATTTCTCGGGGGGTGCAGTAAGCACATTGCACATATAAGGTCATTGATGTGTTCCTAGAGTTGCAGATGCATTAGAGACAGAGGTGAGTTTGGGATAGTCTACCTGAAAAATGTAGCCAGTTTCATAGAACTGCATTCCTCTTTGACAGACCCGGAAGGTTCTCCTTCTTTGCCGCTGATTTGTGAGTCAGATATGCTCTTCCAATTTTGCTCTTTCTAAAGCCTGGCTTAACCCACGTCACCATCATCTGTGAGCTTGTGAAGAAGTTTCACTTCCCTCTCAACAGCTATTTCTGAAATGTGTGACTTTCCAGGAGGGAGAAGAGGGCTTTCTGTTTTCAGGGCAGGAGCAAGGAGAAAGTGAGCCATCCGTGTGGTTTTTATCTTCGGCGTACCTTCATCATCTCTCACCTCTATCAAAACCATCCATCAGATCCAACCAGCAGGTGTCACGTGACCACCAGTTCTTTCCAAGACGCAAAACTCAGATGTTGTGGTGGCAGTGTGTGTGTGTGTGGAGAGGGTGCTGATCAGTGTTTGCATACACAGTATCTTTTGGAGAAAATTAAATTTTGCTGACCTAGTGGATGGTGATATTTTACAGATGGGTATAGGGGAAGGACAGGGGAGAAGAGAGAGGGTGAGGAGAGAGGAGTAGAGGGGGAAAAGGGGGGAGAAAAAGAAATTAAACATAGGCCTGCACTCTTTCCCCTAACCTACAATGTCTTCTGATGTCTAGAGATGTCCTAAGGGATAATGAAGTGCTTGGTGGCTCTCTTCCCTCTTCTGACCCCAACCCCTTATATAAACATAGGGGAAATGTCATTGGTCAATTGAGTCTGTCGCTAACTTACTTACCATTCACTAGAATGCTGTCCACAGCTACCTAAAAGGAAGAGATATTAAAGGAAAAGAAACCTCAAAATAACAGGCAGATCGTCACAGCTCCTAGTGTCAGCATCTCTTCAGCATCCTTTCATGACCTAGAGTTAGTTCCTGCATCCAGGAGCTCTCAGCAGGCGAATGCCTACTATACTCCCTACACTGGCTTGAGCTGAGCCTTCTCCCTAACCTCCATGGACACGGGCATGGGGGCTCCCTGTTTCCTCTGCTCCCAGTGAATTCAGCTGGCTCAAAGTCTTCCCCAGAGCTGCACCCATATGTTTCCAGTACACCTAAGATGTCCCTAGTTTCTCCCTACAGGCCTTAGGGTTTCCCTGTCACCCTCTGAAGAGAGTCTTTCTGTCACTGTTAGGTGTTTTGTGTGTATGTATGTGATACTGAACTAGAAAGCTGGCCCAGAAAGGGCTAGAGATACAGAGGACCAAGGAAAGAGCTTAATGAAAGAAGCTAAATCAGTTTTCATTCAGAAGACTGGGGGAAGAAAGAGAGTGAAGGGAAGAGAGAGAAAAAAATCAACATAACCTGAGGAGTGTTTTGTTGTTTTGGTGGTTTTGTAATGGGTGGAGGGGAACTTGAAAAAAGAAAGGTTGCAGAAGGGGATATGAGATGTTGGTGAGCGATTCAAACAGGATTCCCTTACAGTTTGAAAAAGATGCAAATTAAAGTGTAGGCTTATTTTAATAGTACCTTTGGCTGTTCTAACTGGGCTTCACCGAATGCAGGACTGTACAGAATCAGAGGACTGCATGGAGATGCAGAGGACTGCATCAGTGTTAGAAGGGCCCCTCTGAGCCCCTCTTCAACAGAGTCAACAACTGGAGTGGTTCTAGCCAAGCTCACTGCAAAATGTTCATTCTTATGCTGTCACTGGATAATGGCTCCATCTTTTTCTCCTGGCTCTACTGATCACATCTAGACTGTAGAATGTTCTAGAATGGATTCCTGTGTGCCATTATGTAATAGAATATACCGCTTTTCATGGGCACCCTGTTGGATCCTGAAATAGAGAAAAACTCTCATTACTGCAGGCCTGGTCATCTTCTTCCCTGACCTCCTCCCTTTAGAATTGTTGGACATCTTCTCCCATGGGAATGAGCAGCCAAGGGGTTGCTAGGCCCCTCTCTGGTCCCTTGGCTTAATCCCATAGGGTGCTGGATGCCTTCAGTGTAAATTAAGGTGAAAAGCTCAAGCCTTGATGCCTTACCCGGTGTATCTTGGTATTTGACACTCTCTAACTCTCAGCCCAAGTTCTTCCAAGTAGGAATCCTCCAAGTATTACCTCCTCCATGGAGTCTTCCCACAAGCCCCCCATCCCAGGAAGATCCTCTGCCATATGCACAGACCTTCAGCTGTGTATTCATCACACCACGTGGTGCTTGAGTTTTGCTGGACTGAAAATGGAACCGGCCTGGGAAGGCAGGTCTTCTGCGTTGGCCCTCTCTCACCAGAGTGCCACTGCCCTGTATCGTCTGCCCCTGGACACCCATCCTCAAAGTTTTTATGGTCAAAGACAAAATCATCACCAACCCACCAACCTGTTCCCAGCCCTATGTCCCCATCTCAGTGACGGTACTACCTCACATTTCATCAGCCAAACCTGTAGGATTCCATCACCCCAATACTTCTGAACCTGCCTCTTTACATTCTCTTGATCACATCCTATCCCTTCTCTCTCTCCACTGCCTCTTCCCTGGTGTAAGCCTCAGTAGCTTTTTTGTATGAGTCTCCTCCCCAGCCTCCCTGACTCTGGCCCCACCTCTCCAACCCATCCTCCTCCATGCTGTAGCCAAAGTGATGTTTCAAAAATGAAACTCGTACTCCCAAATCTGCATTCTAAAATCTTTCAATGGTTTCTCCTCCCCTATAACAATGATTCATGGGGTAGAAATGAGGGAAGAAACACATGTTTAAGTCATCTGGAGAGCTTTATCAAGCTACACTGTCCCCATGCTCACAAAGATCCTGGCAGATTTCCTGAAGTCTCCTGTACCTTTGCTTGTGACGTTTTCTCCTTCAGTGCCTGCATTCCTCAGTTCCATATGACCGGATTCTACCCATGTATAAAGTCTAATTAAAAAGCCACTTTCTCCAATAAACCTTTCCGACCTCCAGTCTAGACATAATCTCTTTACCATCTGGATCTCCTCCATAAGGATCCACGTTACATTCTGTCTTGTATTTGTCATTTGTATTCACATCTTATCTTCTCCACTGGACCGTCAGCTGCCTATTCTCATTCATCCTTACCACAAATGTGCCTTGCAGATACTAGGGATTCCCTACAAATGTGTTGAGTGGAGGATCCTAGTGAAACTAGAACAGATGGGGCCCAGGATTGACATTCATCTCTTGGGCAAGAAAGCTTCACTCAGAACAGAGACTCAAATATCAACATTGAGCAGCAAGGGTAAACCCAGCCCTTTGATGGGAAGGTGGGAAGGTTGGACAGGCAGTATGTGAAAGATGTACCATAGTCTGAGCCTTCAGTGAACATACTGTCTATCCAGGAAAAACAAATAGTGAGGCAATAGGAAAAGCGAGCTACTGGGTGAGCCAAAGAGGCAGTGCCACTATTAGACTGTAGTGTGCTACGGCTCACAAAACTGAAACATGTAGATGCCCCACATCACACAGCTAATAAGTAGAAGAGTTGGGTCTCAAACTTGAGCAATCTGATAACAGAGACTATACTCTTAAACACCATCTAAGCTAGATGAAAATATAAAACAGGATTTGTTGATATGCTAAATTGTGTGACGTAATTTCTAATCCCTGCCATGCTGCTTACCAACTCTATATACTTGGGAAAGTTACTTAGCCTCTCTGAGTTTCATTTTCCTTATCTGTAAAACAGGAATAATAATGCTTCAGTGAGGATTAAGTAAAAGAGTGCACATAATTACTGAGAACAGCCCCTGACACATAAGTAACCTCCTGCTATTTAAATAGTAGCTATTATTATCATACATTTTATAAGTTTCTTGTCTGGCTCTTCCATCAGACATGTCGGCAGAATCAAGATCACAATTGTCTTTCTATCTCTGGTACTTGGCAGAGACACTCATACAGTGGGTCCTGAAAAAGCTTTTGCTGAATTAATGATGGAAAGATGGATGAGTGGATGATGGGTGGATTCTTCGATGAATGAGAAAATGAGTACATGGATGAATAGATGAGCATATGAGGTTGTGGGTTAGATGAACTAGTGGATGGAGAGACTGTTAAGTGGGTAGGTGGATGGATGGATGGGTGGATGAGTGAATGGCTGGGTTTTATGAGCTAGATGGAAAGGTAGATGGTCAAATGGATGGTTAAGTAGACAACTTAGTCCTGTTTAAAGAGTATGGAACAAAGAAAAGCTGTGTCTCAAGTCCCTCAAGTCAGTCTTGTCAGTCAACTGAAAAGATTCCACAGTATGTGATTTATTAAGTTTGGGATTGGTTTTTGTTTTGTTTTTTTCCCATGCATAGCTGTCTTCCTGATCAGGATCTTTGGTCTCAGGCAGTCTGTTACTTGCAGTATCACTGTATCCTTGTAAAGTTAGACCTTCAGTAAATCTTTAAGCCTTAGAGAAAGGACACATGCATACTGTGTTTTGATCACAGAGTAAAGAACTATAATCCTTGCCCTGGAAGACTTTGCAATTTAATTCGGAAAAGCTACTCAATTAATATAAACTGTCAGCTACCATCATTCCAGAGTTGCCTTGAAGCTGGGTCAGGGATAACAGTGGATTTTGGTGACATCCAGGATAACTCAGCTGCTTGGAAGAGGTTCAGGAAGCATGTTGTCATGAGGAGGTGGCTCAGGCAGAGGTGAATCCTAAAGATTGAGAGCAGGAAACCAGACAGTCCAGAATGACGAGTGCAGCCTGCAACCCAGGAGTGCCGCCTGGGGCTCCTGGCAGTGAAAACATCATGGCGCAGGATGGTGGAGGCCTTGCAATGGCTTCAAAAATACACAAAACAGTAGATCTAGGGAGGTGTCACCTCTTAGAGCCTCAGAGAAGAATAGTACCTGCTCCACGGGGCTGGCGAAGGATTGAAAGAGACAAGGCTTGTGGCATCTCAATGCCTGGCCCACTGCCTTGCCCAGCGTGTATCTCTTTTCTTTCTTTTTTGAAGGCAGCACAGGCTAGTGGTGTAGAATGTGAGCTTTAGAGCCATGTTGCTACCAAATCCAGTTACTATCTGTGTGATCTTAGGCAAGTTATTTACATTTCTTTGCCTCAGTTTCCTCATCTGTAAAGTAGGGATAGTAATGATACCTATCTGTCAGGGTGGTTGTGAGGAATACATGAGTTAATGCATGATGAGAGCCCAGAGCAATGCCTGGCACATAGTAGGTGCTACGTAAGTATTTGTTCTTATTTTAGTACTATTTTAAATACTCCTAAGGAGGTGAGCTCTTGGTTCCTGGTCACCAGAGTGAGAAGCAGCCAACCTTATGTGTGTGGATAAGGTTGGGACATAAACTCCCCTCTATTGAGCCCTGCTATACTTCAGGTGTTTAGATTAACATAATCTAAATATTAATTTAGATTAATATAACTTACTCACTTCTGTATTACATGTCGCACGTGATTGGAATATAATTTAGATGAATAGAACATAATGTTAATGCCCACAGTGACTCTTGGGAATACAGCATTATTGTCCCCAACCTTGCGATGGAGAAACTGAGACTCAGAGATACATAGCAACTTGCTCATAGCCATGTAGTTAGTGAGTGATAGTTCTGGGTTCTAAGACTTATCATATTTCCACTCCTTGGAGCTGTTTAAGCTGGCAGTTATCCATGCCTTCACCTTGGGACATGGATCAGGAAACAGGTCCAGGGAGAGGAATCGACTTGCCCAAGATGTCACAGTGAGCAAGTGAAAGAGCTGGGGTCTGAACACTATCTTCTCTAGTCTCACCCAGTGTTGTTGACAATATGGAGAACACAGATGCCTCTAAGTCTTCATCAGATGGATCCTGAGCTTTCTGCCCCTGAGGAGTCATATTCCCAGGCCCTGGACCACAGAGCCAGCAACAAAGAAGAGGAGTGGGCTTTTACGCTGCCAACCCGTATGGTTGGTGAGGGATGTTGGATGACTTGTACGGGCTGTTCCCTTCAGTTGGTAGTTCTTCACCCCTTCCGTTATCTAGGGCCACTATTCACTGGCCAAAGATATTGAACAATTTTATGAGTGACCAGATCTTACTGCACAATGGTTCATTTTCCCCAGCACAGCCTCCCAAGGAGGCACAGGGCTTCCCTTCTGCTGTGGCATCTTAACTCTCAGATGTCACCTTCCTTCTGGAGTGATGGAATTTGGCTCTCCTTCCTTATAAATGAGAGAAAGCCTAGAGGTGGCCCTAACTTAGGGGCTTTGGCCACTTCCTACTTGAGAGGGGGAAATTTGGAGCTCTGTGGACATGTTCCCACCCTATGGATATAAAGACCGTTATCTTCCTGTGCCAAGCAAACTGGGTAACAGTTGCAATTAACCAAATAACTCAAGAAGGAAGGAAATTATTCTTGCCTACTCAAATGGATATTTGTGAATCTGAATTATTCAGAAGTTTTTCTCAATCCACAAATGTATTAGTCATTGTCAGTGTAGCTAAGTCTGTAAAATAAAAGCATTCCTATTTATTTTTCTACAAAGTATAGAAAGTTATAACAAAGGGAATATCATGGACTTATTGGACTTTCTTTCTTTCCTTCCTTCCTTCCTTCCTTCCTTCCTTCTTTTTTTTTTTTTTAATTGTTCAGAAGCCAAGAGCTAGAAGGGACATCAGAAAGAGGTTACAGACATTGATTTTTTAGCCCTTCTTTTGGAGGGTGGAATTTTTCAGTCATGTGAAACCTTAAACTCCAATTTATGAAATAGATTAAAATGGAGAAGCTCTGGCTTTGGTGGATGGCAGAGAACCAGTAGCCCCACCTGCTCAGGTCCCACCTTCCCCATTACAATGAGTCTGCTCTACAGAACCCCTGGGCTCCTGGGAACACAATTTGAAAACTACTGTTTAGTTCATTCATGTAAGGATCAGATAAGAAAATGAAGGCACAGAGTTTATTCAAGATGTAGTCTCTTCAGGCTGAAGTTTGAAATTCCTCTCTCTTAGTGAAATCCTCTTTCGTGATGAAATTTGAATGTTCCGGTTATCCACTGATAATGTAGCAAACTATTTCCCGAAATGTAGTGGCTTAAAAATAAGCCATGAAACTTACTGATTTGTTTTGTTTTGTTTTGTTTTTCATGAATCTGTACCTTGGTCATGGTTTGAAGGAAGTGGCTTGTTTCTGTTCCATGGGATCAAAGGTCTCAGTTGGCATAATCCAGTTGGCTGGGCTGGGACAGTTAGGGGGCTGGCTGGACATCTCTTCCTCTTCATAGAGTCTTCTGGCCTCTCCATGTGATTTTTCCACATAGTCTCTTCAGCATGGCAACCTTGAAATACTTAGACTTCTTACATGGAGGCTCAGGGTTCCCAGTGAGGGCTCCAAAGACCCAGACAGACCTGCAAGGCTTCTTTTTGTCCTGTCCTAGAAAGTCCCAGAATGTAGCTCCTACCACATTCTCTTGGCCACCTACGACCAGCCCTGATTCAGTGTGGGAGGGCACTACACATGAGTACTGGGAAGTAATGGGTCATTGGGGAGCCATCTTGGATCCCGGCTACACAATTTCCTTGCTTTTGGCATGACCTTACAAAATCGATTCTGATGTGATTTGACCTAAAGCTGAAGACAGAAGTCATTTTGGTTTTCCTTAGATCATAGGAGCACGGTCCTGTGGAAGAGTGGTAAACCAGTTCCAGAAGGGTCAGAAATCTGAACCAAGGCCAAAAGTCATAATTATAAGGAAGCTAGTTTTAGTTACCATAAAAAAGAATTTTCAAACAACTAAAACAGCCAAATGCGATGTGGCTTCCTCTGCATGAATAGTGAGTTTCTCCATCATAGGAGAGATCTCTCTCATTTCTTCCACCACTGAAACTATCTGATTCTCAGCGACGATGAGAAGCAGGGAAACCCGCATCTCCTTGAGCGTAGGGATGCTGAAATACTGTGTGCATTTCTAAGAACCAAGATTTCATATAAATCTAATTCTTGTTTGTTTGTCTTTTCTTTTTCCCCCTTTTTGGACATTTCCTTCATCTGACTGCCCATCAATATATAGAAGAAATGCTTATTCCTACTCCTATTACTTGTAAGTATCGACCCGGGGTAACTTTGCTTTGTGCCCTGTAAGGCAACCTGTAGCATGCATTTCCTGCACCAACCAAGTGTTTGTTGGTTTCTCATAATCACTTCTGTCTAAGCCATCTGTAGCCTCAAAGTTTTTATTTTACCTAGATGTTTTCCATCTGAAAGTGCACTGTCATTGTTCATGTCCATTATGTCTCTGCCATCTTGGATTTTGCCCTCTATTTTTGGAGATGTGAAGGGCTGCTTCTTCTTTGTCAGTGTAATTTTCTAGTTAGAAATCCTCGAATTCCAGCAGGAAGAAAACCTAATCCTTCTGCACGACCTGCACACATAAAACAGAATCACTGATCTCAGCACCTTCAGAGACAATTTGTGTCTTCCTGAGGAACGTGTAGCCCTAGGGGCTCAAAGATTAGAAAGAAATTCATTGGCTGTTTCCACTATTTCAGGAAGGCTATAGGGAATCATGACTTTATCTAGAACCAGCTTCACAGGTGACAGAAACATCCAGGGTCTTCGCTTTGGGCTGGAATTATCTCAGTCTTGTGTTTATCATTAGTTATCACATCCTATCAATGCATTTTGTTGGTAGTTATAGATGGCTGATTGCCTAACAGTTTTCTTTGTACTTTCTAAATAAAGATGATGATTTTTCTTATTACTAAGCCAGGCAATTTCACAACGTGACAGTAAAGGAGAAAAAAAATCCATAAATAAATCCTTGGAAATGAAAAGTTAGGAAAACCACTGAGTTAATTTCACATTTCTAATATGTGTTTTCCATATTTGAAAACTGAGATCCAGAGAAGTGTGCAAAATCTTGCATCCAGTTAGCAAAAGAGTGGGATTAAAACTCAGAACACCTCGTTCCTTGTAAAGTGTATTGTCCATCATTCCATGTCTTCCTCCACCCCTGGCAAACCCAGCCTTGTGAGAAGAGTCATATCTGTTAGTGATCATCTGCTGAAGGCTTCACAGATGAGGATGGAGCCAGCAAAAGGCTCTCCCATCCCTCTGTTCAGTGTTTGGGTCCCTGGCCAATAGGCCCAGGCAGTGAGCAGGTGAGAGTCTGGTATCCCCACCCTCATGCTGTGTAGGAATCAGCGAACCTGGACTACCAGTACTGAAAGTATCAGAGAACGTGCTTCATTTGTTCATTCCTCCGTTTAATAAACATGCGTTGAACATGCTCATTATGTTCCAGACACTGTGGATGGAGAGATGGCCAGGACTTTGAGCCCCACCCTCATCATGTTTAAGCCTATCAGAGAGACTAGCATAAAATCAAATACTTGAAATGTCAGCTGAGATGGACCTACGTGTACCGTGGGACAGGGGCACTTAGTTGGGTAACTAATTTTTAATGAGGCAGGGGATAGTTACCAGTGCTTTTAGAGATAGATTTGCCTAGTGCTGAAGAAACGAGAATTCTGAGCAGAGGAAACAGCTTCTGCAAAGACTCAGAGGTATGAAGCAATACAGGATGTTGTTGCTCGGGTGGAAGGAGAGTGAGCTTTGGGGGTCATACAGCTCTGGGTTCAGGTCACATCTCCATCACTCACTAGTCACATAGCCTTGAGCAAGTTTTCTGAACTCCCTGAACCTCATTTGTCTTGACTCTAGAATAAGAATAATAGAGTCTAACTCATAGGGAATGAGGGCTTTTTGTAAAGTTCCTGGCACAAATTCGCCCTCATGGAATGTTAATTTTCTTCCCCTCCCCTTTCAGAAACCATAAGGAGTCAGGGCAGTAGTGGTGGCCCCTGGGTGGCCTCAGGTCTTTTAAAGGTTCTTCCAGCATCAGTGTTCCACAGTAGGTGTGGGCATGCAGTGGCCCCTCACGGCCTCTAGGCACCTCACCCCATTGGTCTGAGAGCCGTGTACGTAGCACTGTCTATGGATGCCCACTTTGTACCATTCTCTGTGCTGGACACTGTGGTGAAATCAAAGATGAACAGAGTGAGGGCACAGGAGACAGACATGCAAGTACTTGTAGTTCAGTTTGCAATGACCAAGGTGGGACTTTCAATGGGTGCAGACTTAGTGTTCGACATGACACATCCTAGAGAGTGAAACTCACGCCAGCTCAGGAACTGACCATGGTTACAGATTCAGAGGAGGAGAAGAACTGGCAAAGCAGATGGGAGACAGGAAGAGAACCGGAAGAACCAGGAGCAGGCCACTGCAGAAGGAGGAGTTGACAACAGCAGATGCTGCAGAGAGATGGACATGGAGGGCTTGGGCATGGCACTGATGTTTGACTGTGAGAAGTTACTTGTGCTGATCGTGGGGTGGGTTGAGAGAGGAGGCCAGCCAGCCTCGGGCCCCTGAGGAGGATAACTTCTTAACCTTTGGCCCTAAAACAGGAGAATCATGAGACCGGCCACTTGAAGGGCCAGAAAGTCCTGGGCACATGTGCACAAGAGGCTGAAGATGCTGGAGGTGGGGGCGGCTAAAGGACGGAAGGTCTGGAGGCAAAATGTCTGAGGATAGGGAGGCTAGGAGGGGACACGTGACAGGTCTTGAAAAACCACAGGATTGAGAGATGCATATAGACGGAGAAGAGAGAACAAGGAAGAAAATGGTGACTCCCATGATCTCCAGATTCAAAACTCCACTCCACCACTTAGGTATAGACCCTGAGTGGGTGCCTTCAGTCCTGCCTACACAAAGGTCCTTAGACCAGCAGCACTGGCATCACACAGGAGCCTGTCAGAACTGCAGCACCTAGTGTCCCCGCTCAGACTTCCAGAGCCAGAACCAACATGGTAGCAAGACCCCCAGGCGATCCACGTGCACGTTAGAGTGTGAGAAACACAGATTGAAGCAGTCAGTTGTCTCGTCTATAAAACAGGAAAAATCATACCCTCCTTGCAGAGGTTGGGAAATCATCTGGTCCTTCTGAAAGCTTCAGGATCTTCCCTGAATGAGGAAGCCTCCAACACGCATTGGCTGAACAGCCTTTTCGATGAAATCCATGTTTATTCATTCAACAAGTGTTTGTGGAGTTCCCATTTGTGTGCCAGGCACTTGTCAAGGTTCTGGGATAGAAGGAAACAAAAATCCCCGCTCACATGAAGATCTTTAGTGGGGGAGATAGAAAATGAACAACATATATAAGAAAAGTATTATAGGTGTTATGTAATGGTTGAGATAACTAAGGAGAAAAAATAAATAAAGCAGGGAAAGAGGACATAAAGCATGGGTAGGGGAGGAACAGGAATTTTTTTTTCAAAACCAAGAGGTCCTCAAGGGTTCTCCCCCATCGAAAGGTCCCATGCATAAGACCAAGAGTCTACAAACTTTTTCTGTAAGGAGCCAGTAATAAATATTTTTAGCTTTATGGGTTCATAGGGTCCCTGTTGCATCTAAGCAGCTCTGATGTTCTAACAGGAAAATAGCCATAGACAATATGTAAATGTGTGAGCGTAGGTGTGTTCCAATAAAACTTTATTTAGAAGACTCAGATGATAGGCCAGATTTGTCCTGAGGGCCATAGTCTTCCTACCCCTGCCCTAGACTTTTGAGATAGGGAGAGCATAGGGTTCAAGATTCACCCTGTTTTGTGGCTCCTACAACGTGCTGCACCATGTGTTGGCTGTTGTAGACACAAAGGTGAATGAAGGTCACCTGAACCAGCCTCGAAGGGGTGGGAGTTGAAAAGAATGACCGGCTGTGATGTGCAGGGCTCATCTGATGCTCACAGCAAGCCCTGTGAGATACATGTCACTGCACTGAGTCTCTTTAGACGTGGAGGCTGAGGTTTGAGCACTTGTCTACATCCCACAGCCAGGATGTGGCAGGGCTAGGGTTTGAATCCAGGACCACATACCCCCAAGCCTTGTCTATCCCTCTCATTAGACCTTCAGGGCTCCTGCCTGGACCATGTACCTGGGGATCCCTTGGCCAGGCTGTGCAAGAGTCAGTATTCAAATGCAAGTTTATCTGCCTGTACAGCCTCAGTTCTGTGTATGGACATCCGAACCTGGCTAGAGACAAGAAGTGGTAGCCATTCCTAGCTGGCAAGGAGGCCCTTGAGGCAATCCTGTCTTTGCTGTCCTGGGGCTTTGCCATGTGGTCAGAGCTGAGAGCACTGGGCTGCCAGATCAGTGGTAGCCCACAGGGTAGAGTAAGGGAGCACCAAAAGAGGGCTAATGACCAGGTAAACAGGTCTATAGACAGAAGGGTCTTTGGGACCCAGGGACAGAGGAGTCTAGAATGGACTCCTACTTTGTCCAGTACACATTTTTAAAAATGAGAATAATGTGGGTTTTGGTGTAAGATCACAATTTGGTGTAGATCACAATTCTAGGTCTGCCTCTTACGTCAGATTGTTCAGACCTTGAACAATCATGGAACCACTCTGAACCTCAGTTTCTTTTTTTTTTCTTGTCTTTTTAATAACAGAACCTCAATTTCTTTATCAGCAAAATGGTGATAACAACAGCGACTTCCAGCATTTCCTAAGTAATGAGCTAGTGTAATCTGTAGAGTGACCGACACAAATTTGGTATTTTATAAAGAGCAGTCATTATTCCTCATATCCTTCGCTGACAGAAATGCTTCTCTAGAATTCCTTTTTGCCTTTCTGCAGTAAAGCAGCACCCAACACCTTCAGTGTCTGCTTTTTAAAAGGCTATTAAGAGTTGGCATGCGTTCACCGGTTAATTTACCTCAAGGTGTGTGATGGGCACAGTAATTGTTTTGAACAGAAACGTTTTAGTGTAGCAGTTCTTGAAGAAGCACTGAGATGTTTACCAACCATTCTGGCAGAGAGAGAGCACTTAAACATCTCACTTTGCCTTGAACAAATGCCTTGTGTTGGTGTCGTGAAGGTGGGTCCCTTCTGGACTGGTCCCTGTGTGCGGACAGTCTGGAACTCGGGCTTTTCGTGTCCTTCCTGTCTCTCCCCATTGCAGCATATTTAAATCCTGCACCGATCCTTCAGGGCCCAGATCAAGCACAAGCTCCCACAGGAAGAATTCTCCGGTTCTCTCCTCC